CCTCTGGCAGCGGCTGTGGCCGGCGTGGCCCTGGCAGGGGCAGGAGCGGTGTGGCACCACGGCCGCGTACAAGCGGCCGCGCGCGAGGGCGGCCTTCAGGTGCTGGCGCAGGTACGGGACGGGCTCGGCACAGCTCCGCCCTCAGGCGCCCCTGGACGGGAGGCCCCGGAGACCCCAGAGCGCTGCGCCTGCCCGGAGGGCCCCGGGAAGAGGGTGGCAGCCTCTCCCCCCTCCCCTCCGCCCCCGCTGGGGAGCGTGTGGGCGTGGCTCCGGGAGGGCCTTGGCGTCGCCACGCCCCTGCCCACCTGGTGGAGAAGGGGCGGTCTGCTGTGCGGCTGCTGGGCGACCCCAGGAGGGACCCTCATTATCGTTAACCTTTAATAGCTAAAGGTTTCCCTGATCGCCCCTTCGTGTGGACCGGTGGAGCCGTCCTACTATATGACTTTCTCCAGTCATGAAAATACCAACTCTAAAAGCTGGAACAGTTGGTAGTTACCGATTTTATATGTTCTAAAGACGACTATGACTACTAAGTCTTAAGCCTTAATGTTTTAGGGCGTCACCCGCCTACTCAGCAAGACCAATTTATCTTAACGCCTGGGCTGTTAGGGTGCAAATGTTAATTATCTTACTTCAAGATGAATATCGCCGTGTAAAAACATTGGGAAGTTTGAATGTTACTACCTAAAATAGAGACATTTCAGTGTTTTGTTTTGTTTTAGTTTTCTTAGAATTAAAGGTACTATTTTATTTCTTTATTTGTTAGGTTTCTGTTATCTAGTTCTCATGAAAAACTCAAGAAACATTAAAATACAACAAAAAGAACAGCAAACCTTACAAATTAAAGGTTGGTAAATGTTGTTAGTATGAAGATTCAATATAGCTTATACATGCATTGACTCCAGCCTCGCACCACATCTGATTTGAGGTGGAGAAAACTTCTTATGCTATATAGCCTTTTTGTTAAGTTTTTCTAAGATTTATTTTTGTTTTATGTGTATGGATATTTTGCCTGCATGTATGTGTGTACACTGCACGCCGGCACGGTGCCCAGTTGCCAGAAGAGGGCGTTGGGCCCCTGGAACTGGAGTGACAGGCCGTTGTAAACCACCACAGGAGTGCTGGGAACTGAGTCCAGGCCCCTTGCAAGAGCAGCCAGTGCTCTTAACCACTGAGCCATCTCTCCAGCCCTGACATTTTTGTTAATCTTATGCCAAACAAATTTAATTTTCACTATTGGTTTTTCTGCTTGCATATTCGATTCCGTCCTCTTCAGAACCTTAGGTTAATTCCCCACATGGTGTTGTTTTAACTTAGAAGCTACTAGTGTCTTGAATAATAAAGTCACCTCTTGTTTCCTGTTGCTGAGTTTGCCATATACTGTGCAAGTGCTCTGCTGCTGAACGACATCCCCAGCCCCCTACACTTTCAAACTTTGTGATTCACAGCCCTTGTAGTCACATTCCCTGACCTGTTATTAACTCAAAACACTTCCAGCTAGTGACTCACTCACTGTCTAGGAACCAAGTTTGATTCCCACCCACAAGCCCTCAGCAATTTGTAAGATGATTTCACTTCATCCTCCTTTGAATTTTAAGGTTTTTTTTTTTTTCTGGTTTTTGTTTGTTTTCTGGCTCCTTTCTATCCTATTTCCACTTTTAATTACTAACTTCACCTTCTAGTTCACATCAGTGTAGTATTTTAGATTCTTTCTCCAACTCTTATCCTCCTCCTTCTCTGCCATTCCGTAACCTTCAGCCTAGCTAAAGTAACACAGAATCTTATCAGTGGCTTTCTAAGGTCTGTTGACACAAGTCGGCTGGGTCTGCTTTTTGGACGAACTGGAAATGGGTTTTTATGCTTTTACTCCCACAGTGGACATTCCTTCCTCAACAGTGGCTGAAAACTAGTGTGTTCAGTGTAGCTGGGGCTTGAGAACTCTCCCCTAAGGTAGGGATTTGTGTGCCTTTTCCTATAAAGGGACCTGTTAATCCCTCTCCACCATTTGGGGCACATGTGTGCTCACAGTTTTATTTTGTTTCCTTTACTCAGTACCACATGTGGATCTGGGTTAATATCGAGAATACCCTTCATTCTCATTCATGACACTGAATGATTTTTCCAGTAAAAATGGAGAAATCGTGTTAGTGGCATCCTGCTCTTTGCTGTTTTCCATGGTGACCAACAGCTTGTGGTTTGTGTGGGATCAGCAGGAGTAAGTGTAGATGTCCAGGTCATGAAGCAGCAGACAGTGTGGAACCCTTCTTTCTCTCCTCTCATGTACCAAGGATGTGTGCAAGGAGTCGGGTTAGAAGAGAGCTCACGTCCTTAAAGTATGACAGCAGGGGCCAATTTTAATGCAGTGTTGTTGTAAATGCTGGCTGCCCATTGCAGGGGCCCAGAAGAGCACCCAGCACACTCCTGGTTTCCTGAAGGGATGATAAATAAATGGTCGTCCTGCGGCTGCTTGGGAATTCATTTGGCAAAAAAAAGGGGGGGGGAGGAGGATGTAGGTAAAGGGAATACCTGCTCAGGGAGCTACAAGAAAGTTGGACTCAGCAAAAGAGTGAGCTATGAGATGGGTGTGTGCAGTGGCCTGGAATGTCATCAAGTCACGCAAGCCATGTGGCAGGACTTTATCTTAAGGACTGTAGGAAACCATTGCAAGAGTTCTAAAGTCTCATGGACACACATACACACACACACACACACACACACACACACACACACACACTCACTCCTACCCCACAGAAAGCATCTTAAGGTGAAGAGGTTACTTCGTTTTCTGTGGCCTGTGATTTAAACTTGTCTAATTAGGAATACAAACAAGGCACACTGGACCAACCACTTAACTCAGGGTGACACCCTCATACAGGCTTGCATATGGAGCCATAACTGGCTGAGGGATTGTTTTTTTGTTTTGTTTTATTTTGTTTTGTTTTGTTTTGTTTTGTTTTTAAAAAAAGCCTGCCAAGAATAAAAGGTTTCTAAGTACCCGTGACCAAAAAAACATATACAGTGAATCTCAGGTGTTTCTAGCAGTGCTTGCCAATGTTAGAACATGTGACTTCACATGAGCCTTGTTCTGAACACACAACTTTGGCTCAGATTCCAGACTTTTGTGTGTTATGAACTGCGGTATTTTTTTTTGCTGTATGTACAGTTTTCTACTCTTACAGAAATATAGTGGTTTAATAACAGAAAAGAGACATTCAGTATGTTTCTACCATCATCCTGTGTGTATCAAATTATTATATATGTAATTGTATTGTGTGTAAATATTTGCTTTGGAAAATTTAGGTTACTGATTTTAAAAAGTCTTTACATGAATTTTTATTTGGGATTAAGACATAACTTCCAACAATTTCTGAAGTGCTCCTAAATGCTCATGTGTTGTTATGCATATTGTGTGTTTGCATTGATAACTAGAAAAGCAGTGTCAGTCAAGTCCAAAACAAAAACAAAAAAAATTTGAAAATGCTCCACATCCTGCACTGTCAGATCTCCAGCCAGAATTTAAGAAGCACATCTGTCTTATTAAGTTCTTCTTAAATTGTTATTAAGTGTATTTTGTGTGGGCTCAAGTGCTCTGCATGTGGAGGTCAGAAGCAACTTAACTGTTGGAGTCTGTTCTCTCCTTCACCCAGTAGATCTTAGTGATCACACTCAGGGCTTCAGTCTGAGCAGCAAGTTCCTCTACCCACCCAGCCACCTCACAGACCCAAGTTTTTGATTTTTTGTGTGTTTTTTTTTTTAATTCTTTTTTTTTTTAATGTATGTATGTAGAGTGTGTGCTTGTGTGTAAATATGGGTATGGGTACAAGTGGAGGTCTGAGGTGATGTCAGGAATCTTCCTAGAGCTTGCAGATTCTGGGCGGTCTTGTAGTCAGATGGCTCTGAGAAACCCGTCTGCTTTCTTTCCTAACTGGAACTGCAGGCAGGCCACCAACCACACCCAGCTGACCTGGCATTTATGGCATCTGCATGAGCCCTGGGATCTGAACTGTGGTCCCCTAACTTGCTGCAAGTTCTTGTAACAGCTGAGCCATCTTCCCATCCCTACCCAAAATGTGTTTTCCTCTTTAATAAATGGTAAAAATGTATGTATGTATAAAAAGCAGTGGTTGTCAGATAGCTTGATAGTTTGCTGTCAGTAGATGGTTTGTATACCTATTTTGCATATCTCTATTCCTAGGGTCTTACCAAAAAGTTCAGTGAAAAAGGGGTCAGGACAGGAAATTTTAAGAAGCCTGGCACTAGCGTTTTGAATTCTGTCTTGAATAGAAATGTTACTTTCCTGTTATAATTATTACAGCATCTCAGTATCATTTTGCAATCCCTGAGAAGCCCGCCATTTTATCAAGCTATATAATATTTGCTTTGCTCTGTGGGAAAATGTCAAGGCCTTAGAAAAAGGAGTGAATTAAAAACAAGTTACAGAATTGTCACAGTAATCAGGAAATGGTGGCGCCTTATCAGGGGACTGGTTTACAAGATAAGCTGTACAGATCTGAATTGCACATGTCTTATGTAAATGTGACTGACTGTTTGAGAAGGTAGAATGAGTACAACAGTAACACAGTACTACCTCCTGCCAGGGTTTGTAGTGGAACTGTTCCATGGTTCATTGTAAGTGAATTGCTTCTAAGTTTTGTCAAGTTATAGAATATTGGATACTAGCAGTTTCCCTGGCTTCATTTCAGATTTATTTTCTTTGCTTCTCAGTGACAGATTTGTCTTCTACTATTTAAATAGTAAAATTATTTGGCCTAACAGTAGACATTACTGCATTTCTCTATTCTAAGTAAAAGTAAGCAGTTACTCCACACTTATTATATAAATTCATTCATATTTTATTCCCCTTAGTAGGTTTAGTTGCATTTGTATTTGTAAATTCTTAAAAACTTCTGCTACACTAATCAGGTTCTTCTTTTCTTCTCTTTTGGCATTATTTTATTTACTTATTTTGCCTTCTGGTGGAATGGGCATTTGTCTGTTTTATCTCTGCATTTTGTGCATAGAACAGTGATGGAATAAACTGAACTGCACTGCTTAATAAAGTGGCTTTGGTTTAGCTGGCCTTTGTAGAAAGGTTAGACAGAAGCATAGAG